CGGCTCTGGCAGTCAGATTTAAAGCACCTCCCAAAAGCCAGGAACACCCAACAGCTTGAAGACTGGGGAGGAAATGTATTTATTAGAGTTTTGGAGCCCCATGGGACACACCCATGTCACATATCGGCCTTGATGGAGAGGCAGCACTGGGACTGGTGCCAACACGCAGGGTCACTGTCCATGCCTGAATCCCAATGCCTGGATTGGCATTGTTCATCCAAACCTCTGCTGCTCCAAACCTCAGCCATCCCCTGAGACCTCCATTATGGGTCCCCTTGTTCACTTCCTGTCTTTTTCCTCAAAATCACAGAATAGCTGGGGTTGGAAGGGCCCTCTGGAAATCATCCAGTCCAATTCCTCTGCTGCTCCAAACCTCAGCCAACCTCTGAACCCTCAGTTATGGGTCCCCTTGTTTACCTCCAGTCCTTTTTCTCAAAATCATAGAACAGCTGAGGTTGGAAGCGCCCTCTGGAAATCATCCACTCCAACCCCTCTGCAAGATCACCAGGAACAGGTGACACAGGAACATATCCTGGTGGGTTTGGGATATCTCCAGAGTGAGAGGCTCCATAACTCCCTGGGCATCTGTTCAGTGCTCTGCCACCCTCCATGGAATGAATTTTTTTCTTATCTTGAGGTGGAACTTCTTGTGTTTTGAGCTTATGGCCATTGCTCCTTGTCCTGTTGCTGGGCATCACTAAAGAGTCTGACACCATCCTCTGACACCTTCTGGATATATTTATATGGATTGATGAGATCTCCTCTCAGTCTCCTCTTCTCCAGACTAACCAGGCCCAGGTCCAGCAGTTTCTCCTCATCAGAGGGATGCTCCAGTCCCCTCATCTTTATGGCCTCCATTGGAGTCTCTCCAGTAACTCCTGTCTTTCTTGGAGACCAGAACTGAACACAGGTATGGCCTCCCCAGGGCAGAGCAGAGGGTAAGGATCTGCTCACCACACTCTTCCCAATGCCCCCCAGGATCCCATTGTCCCTCCTGGCCTCAGGGCACACTGCTGGCTCATGGTCAACTCATGGATCTCTGCAGAGCTGCTCTCCATAGGTCACCCTCAGCCTGTGCTGGTACCTGGGGTTATCCCTCCCCAGGTGCAGGACCTGTTGCTGTTGAACCTCATTGGGTTTCTCTCCATCCCTTTCTGCAGCCTGTCCAGGTCCCTCTGAAGGGCAGCCCAGCCTCCAGGTGGATCAGCCACTCCCTCCATTCTGTACCATCACCAAACCTGCTCAGGGTCCATTCCATCCCTTCACCCAGGCTGTTGATAAACAAATTAGGTAAGACTGGACCCATTACTGATCCCTGGGGAATGCCACTGACTACAGACCTCCAGGGATTCTGCTCTGCTCACAACTCTCTGAGCTCAGCCATTGAGCCAGTTCTTGAGCCACCTCATTGTCCTTTCATCCAACTCAACTTCCTGCTCTTATCCATGGGGATGTTACAGGACACAGTGTCACAAACCTTGCTGAAGTGAAGGCAGACACCACCCACTGCTGTCCTCTCATCAACCCATCCTGCCATGCCATCACAGAGGGCATCAGATTGGCCAAGCAGGATTTCCCCTGGGTGAGTCCATGCTGACCCTTCCAATAACCTCCTTTACTTCCAGGTGTTTGTGATGATCTTCAGAATGAGCTGTTCCATCACGTTTCCAAGGATGAAGGTGAGGCTGACTGGCTGGAAGTTTCCCAGATCCTCCTTGCCCTTTCTGAAGACAGGATTTAACACTGGCTTTTCTCCAGTTTTTGGGAACCTCTCTCATTCTCCAGGGTTTTTTAAAGATGATGAAGAGTGGCTAAACAACTTCTGCCAGCTCCCTCAGCACCTGTGGGTGCATCCCACCATGGATTTATGGGTGTTAAGTCTGCCCGGCTGATCTCTCTCAACTTTCTGTGAGCAAGGGGAAGTGTTCCTTTCTCCATCCTTCATCTCTTACTTCCAACATCTGGGATGCCTGAGGGCTGCTCTGAGCAGCAAAGACTGAGACAAAGAAGGTGTTGGGAAATTTCACCTTCTCTGTGTATTCCATGCCCAGGACACCCACTGGATTCAGCAGCAGCCCCACATTTTCCCTAATCTTCCTTTTGCTGCTGATGCACTTGGAGAAACCCTTCTTGTTGTTCCTGATATCCCTTGTCGGACTCAATTCCAAGTGGACTGCAGCCTTCCTTCCTGCATTACCCAAAGCTGTTCCTATAGACCTCTCACCTGCCTGTCCCTTTTCCAACAACCCATAAGTGTCTTTCTTCCATTTGAGAATTGATTGAATCTCCCTGCTCTTCCATGTCTCTTATCTCCCTTTGCTTGAATTTGGATCATGGGGATACACTGGTCTCGAGTCTGGATGTTTGAATATTGACCAGCTTTCTTGGGCCCCCTTTCCTTCTAGAGCCCTATCCCACGGGATTCCTCTGAGTAGGTCTTTGGAAAGATTGAATTGGCTCTCTGGAAAATCAGGGTTCTGGCCCTGCTACCCACACAGGATCCTGAGTTTCACCATAACATGGGTCACTACAGGCAAGGCTTTCCCCAACCTTCCCATCATCAACCAGTCCCTCCTGGTTTGGTGGCACAAAACAGAAACACACCTCTCCTCCTTGGCTCCTCCACCACTTGTACCAAAATTATTCTCAATGATCTGCAGGAACTTCCTGGACTTCCATGTTATCTCTCCAACAAATCTCAGGATGGTTGAAGCTCCCCAGGAGAACCAGGACTTTTGACCATGAGGCCACTTCCAGCTGCCCAGAGAAAACCTCATCAGCTTCCTCCTCCTCCTCACAGGTGCCCCGCAGCAAATACCCACCACAGTGCCACCCACAATCTGTAACAACAATCCCACAGCATTTGACAAAGCCCTGTTTTCACACAGGTCCTCTCCTATCCCTGGAATGCAGGGTTAGAAATGTGTTAGAAACAAAGGCAGCAGGATGCAAT